TCGCATTGAATCTAAAGGATCGTCATGTGATTCTCGCCCCAGCATAAATCTTCTTCAACTTTGCTCAGATGTCCTTGCAAATGTCATCAACTGCGGACGTGATTAACGAAACCATTGAGTTAAGCAACCATGTGTAAACTAAAGCGTGAGTTGTCCTCTACTTATTCTTCTCAACACTGTCTCTTTTTGGTTCTTTCTCGCTCAGATATCTCTATAGCCTCTTCCGTACTAGAGCTGTCTCAATTCAGCATGACCAGCTCAGATAAGTGGTTGGCCCATCAAGCTTTAGATTCACGGGAGAGAGATTTAATTTCACTTACGTTGAAGCATGCGTTGAAGTCACAGTTCCCGTCGACATTAGCTCCCTGTATGAGCCCTACCAGGAACTTCAGGATCTCAGGATCAATCCTTACTATAAGGTCCAATCCCTTACTCCCCACACTATCTCCATCTCTCGTCATTTCGATTACCTGGACTCTCTTCTAGGTCGTACAAACCACGAACAATTCCCTTCCTCCTTTAAACCTGATTTTGATCTATCACATCATCAACATTGGGATCTTCTTTGTGCGGAGGCCCGACTACAGCAAGTGTGGCACCGAAGGCATGGAAAGGGGGTTGATGTAGCTGCCTGGATAGATGGCGACGACGGCCTGAAGAGCGATGGCTGTCGCTAGACCCTAATGCGTCTCCCGCACGTGAAGCAGGCGAGGCTGGACGTGGGACGAGTCTCCCATACTGGATGCGGGTGCGTCTCCCGCACGGGTTGTCATGGATAGACAGAAGAAAAGCAACAAGTCTGGAAGATCGGGAGATATGATTAATGAGGATAGTGATCGATGGGGAATGTGATCGATGTGACAGATCAAGAAGATAGAGATAAGGTAGAGGCTAAGGTTTGGCTCTGATACCATATTGAAAGTAAATCAGCCAAAAATTTGGTATTTCATTCGACATATGTGTTTAAATAAAGTTTACAACTTTCCAAACAAAATCCGATAAAACCCTTTTATTACACATAACTCTCAACAATATCCATCAAGAAAAGATGATGAACACTTTCACTAACACATCACATGGCAGAGCAGATATCAAGTGATTTGGTTGTAGATGGGTCTAGAGACAAATATTAAATTTGCAAGGGGAGGATACTCAACCATTTTCAAGGAAAAATGGTGGATGCTAAAATATAAAAAAGTTGCTCAAAGAGATCCTGCCAAGCTAGCAACATTCATTAACTGCATTGTTGGCAAATCCAGCAAGAATGGCACTTACATTGAAGCAGTTGATGAGCATAGAAAGAATTTTGCAGACTTCAAGGAGACATTGGTTGAGCATTGAGTGTTGTGGAATTACGCTCCTTATTATTTACTTTAATTTTATTTAGTACTTGCTATATTTAGTCATAGTATAAAAATGGCTTAATTATAGGTATTTATGTTTATTCCGTAATTATAGGAATTGGATAATTGTAGAAAGATTTATTTCCTCTTTCTATTTCTTAATGGGGGCAGAAATGTCTGACTATCATATAGGTGAATTATCTATGTATTCAAATGAGAAAATGATTATTCAAAATTCACAAGTGCAAGTTATCAATTGTTTGTTAACTCAGATCACGGCCCTTCTCTCCCGCGATCATCCTTGTCCGAGCGCTGCTCTAGTTTGCGTCTGCCCCGATCGTCCACGTCCGAGCGCCGCTCCTCGTCCAATCGTACGATCGCGCCTCTCTCTGATCATCCGCGTCCGATCGTCCGAGCACCTATCCCGATCGTCCGCGACGAGCGTCTCTCCTGATCGTCCGAGCGCCTATTCCGATCGTCCGCATCCAAGCGCACACAGCCCTAGTGAGCACCTCTCCCGCGATTATCCGCACCTGAGCGCCTACTCTTCTTCCGCGATCGAGCCAGCCGTGCTCCTTGTCGGCGCAACCTCATCTCTGGTCATTTTGTTGGCCACCTCTTCTCTCCAATGACTAAGTACGACCATGTCTGTAACTCCCACCCCTCCGCGGCTGGGCCTCCATTGCCCAGCAATTCAGACAATAATTTTTTCCTCATCACCAGCCACAAACTCACCGAACAAAATTACCTCCAATGGTCGCAGTCAGTCATGATGTTTGTATGCGGCAAATGCAAAGATGACTACCTCACTGGTGATGCTCCAGCTCCAATGACGATAGATCGGTCATACAAGACTTGAAAATCCGATATATGGTTATGGTCTGGCTTGTTAACTCGATGACACTTGATATTGGCGAAAATTTTCTTCTCTATAGCACGGTTAAGGAAATCTGGGATGCTTCCCGTGAGACCTATTCTAGTGCGGACAATACAAGCGAACTATTTGTTGTTGAGACCATTCTTCATGACTTTCGTCAATGTGATCTCTGTGTCACCCAATACTTCAATACTCTTACTCGGTATTGGCAACAACTAGATCTATTCAAGGTGTACCCTTGGAAGTGTCCCGAAGACTATGACATATTTCGCCAAATCATAGAACAGAAACGCACCTTCAAATTTCTTCTCAGCCTCAAATCTGAGTTTGACCAGACTCGCTCACGGATTTTGAATTCAAAACCTCTTCCAATAATTCGTGAAGTTTTCTCCGATATACGCCGCAAAGAGAGTCGCCAAAAGGTCATGTTAGATGTTTCCTTGTCCACTACAGCCCTCGACGGGTCTGCACTTGCTACTCAAATCCCATCCACAGACAACCGCCAACGCCAGAGCCGCCCTTAGCGTGACCACTGCCGTCGTTCTGGCTATACTCGAGGTATTTGTTGGCAAACCCGCCAATGGGAAACCCAAACGGGATCATCGGGCAACTGCCACCCTCACCACCGAAGCCTCTCCAGGAACGAGCCCATTCAGTGAAGAACAGATTCATGCCCTCCAGAAGATGCTCAGTCAGCTGTCACCAGTCCAGCCTACTAGTGTGGTATCGGGAGCCACCGACCTTGTTACCTATCAAGGTATTTCCCTATCCTCTTTCGTCTTAGATTCAACCTCTTCCGCCCCTGGATTATTGACTCAGGTGCCTCCGATCATATGACCAGGGATATCTTCTTATTAATGGATTACTAGACGTGTAATCTGACCCTCACTGTTCGGATTGCTGATGGATCAGCCTCCAAAGTTGTTGGTCTTGGTTCTGTCTGCATCCAGATTTATTCCTCACTTTTGTGTTTCATGTTTCTACTTTGGATTGTAATCTGATCTCTATTATTAAGCTCACTCATGGTTGTCATTGTGTTGCTAAATTTTTTTCATATGTTTGTGAATTTCATGATTTGAAGTCGGGGAGGATAATTGACAGTGTTGAGTTGCGCAGTGGTCTCTATCTTCTCAACAAACCCTCTGTCAGTCTAGTCTCACCCACTGGTTGTATTCCAATATCAAGTCTGTCTTGCTTAAATCCGCTTCGTACATATGTATTCCATTCCAGCATTAATAATGATAGTGAAATCATGTTACTTCATTATCGTTTAGCTCATCCCAATTTTATGTACCTTGGGAAACTGTTTCCTCATTTATTTATTAATAAAAGTCCTACCTCTTTTAATTGCGAATTTTGTCAACTTGCCAAACACACTTGTACTTCATTTCCTCGTTTATCATACAGACTCACTCATCCCTTTTCTCTGATTCATAGTGGCGTCTAGGGTCTTTCTCGTGAAAAAAATATTTTTGGGGCCCAATGATTCGTGACATGATCTTCTCTGTTTGGTTTTTATGTGGCTCGATGGGTGACATAGATCTATCTTATGCGCACACGGATGACATGGATCTATCTTATGCGTGACAAATCCAAGGTAGGACCAATATTTCGTGCATACTCACTTATGATACTCACTTAATTTGACACAAAAATCCAGACTCTTAAAACAGATAATGCACGAGATTTTTTCAACACCTCCCTAGGAACTTTTCTTACTCAACATGGCATCTTTCACCTTGGCACGTGTCGATACTCCCCAACAAAATGGGGTTGTCGAGCGGAAAAATCGTCACCTGTTGGAGTTAGCCTGTTGTTTCATGTTTACCACATCGATCCCTAAATGTTATTGGGGCGAGGCAACATTGACCGCTGCCTATCTCATAAATACTCTCTTCAGTTGTCCCTACCAAACTATTTGGTTGCTCCGTCTTTATTCATATTCACAAACAACACCGCAGTAAATTAGACCCCGAATCTGTCAAATACATATTCATAGGGTATTCGACCAACAAGAAAAGCTACAAGTGTTACCTTCAACTAAAAAGGTCTATAATTCTATGGATGTCATCTTTTTTTAGCATCAATTATATTACCAAGAGTCTGTCATTCAGGTGGAGAGTCGTAGTGAACAACAGCCCTATGTTCCTTTACCAACTGGCACGGGTCCCTCACCGACTGTCAAACCTCCTCCAACTCCTATTCAACCTCCTCAGTCTACACAACCCACAACTTCTATTCAACCTCCACAGTCTACACAACCCACTCCTCAGGAACTTCGGGTCTATACAAAACAAAACAAAACTGCTGAAAGAAGAGAACCTAACACTGCTTCCAACTGCTGTCTAAGAATCTAATCTGGCTCCAAAACCCTCTGAAACTCACTCAGGTACGGAATCTATAGACACTAGTGATTATAAGCTTACCCCTCCTGTGAAAGATGATTCTGATGTTCCTTGCACTCAACATCCTATAGCCCGATTTGTTTCATATGAGAGGTTATCTCCTCCCTATCATTCATTTGTTACTGCTATTGACAGCATAAAGATTTTGAATTCTATTCAGGAAGCTCTCTCACACCCGGAATGGAGAAAAGCTGTGAATGAAGAAGTTGCTGCACTAGAAAAAAGTGGAACATGGATTGTGTCTGATTAGCCCAAGGATACGAGATCAGTAGAATGCAGTTGGTTATTTACAATCAAATGTAAGACAGACGGAAACATAGATCGGTTAAAAGTCCGACTGGTTGCAAAATATTATACTCAGTCATATGGAATTGACTACCAAGAGACATTCGCCCCAGTAGCCAAACTGAACTCCATTAGAATCCGACTCTCCATTGCAGCAAACCGAGACGGGCCCCTTATGCAACTTGATGTAAACATGAATTTACCGCCTGGTCTTGAAGGGTCCTTCCATAGTGGCAAAGTATGCAAGCTCCAAAAATCTCTGTATAACAACAAACAATCTCCCCGTGCTTGGTTTGCCCGATTCACCAATTCAGTAATCAAGTGCGGTTATACTCAAATTGACAAAGCTGAAGAAGAAGAAGTTTCTAGCCCGTGAATTTGAAATCAAGGACCTCGGAGACTTGAAGTTCTTTTGGGAATGAAAGTTGCAAGATCCAAAATGGGGAGTCGTAACTCAAAGGAAGTACACATTGGACCTATTGAAAGAAACTGGTATGCTTGGACGCAAACCAATAGATACTCCAATAGACCCGTATAAAAAGATTGGAATGGAGAATGATAGTTTACCAGTCGACAAAGGACAATATCAGCGGCTTGTTGGAAGACTTATTTACTTATCCCACACCAGACCAGACATAAGCTTTTCAGTAAGTATGGTAAGTCAATTCATGAACTGTCCTACTGAGGAACATATGGGAGCTGTTAACCGTATCTTAAAATACTTAAAGATGACACCAGAGAAAAGATTATTATTCAACAGGAATGATTGTTAAAAGGTAGAAGTCTTTACTGATGTTGATTGAGCACAAGATATATTCACCCGACGATCAACCTCTGAGTATTGTTCTTATGTATGCGGCAATCTAGTGACATGGAGAAGCAAGAAGCAATCAGTGGTATCTCAGAGTAGTGCAGAAGCAGAATACAGAGCACTGGCGCTTGGTATCTATGAAGAAATATGGGTCAAAAGATTTCTCAAGGAGCTTGGAATTATGGGAGAAAATTCTATCAAGATGTTCTGTGACAATCAAACAACAATCAATATTGCAAAGAATCATGTTCATCATGACCGAACGAAACACATTGAGATTGATCGGAACTTCATTTCAGAGAATGTGGACAATGGAATCATTGAATTGGTTTATACTCCTTCTAGAGATCAAACCGAAGACATTCTCACCAAGACTCTCCCTAATCAAGTTTTGATGAGCTAACTAACAAGTTGGGCATATACAATCTGTACAACCCACCTTGAGGGGGAGTGTGGAATTATGCTCTTTATTATTTACTATAATTCTATTTAGTACTTGCTATATTTAGTCATAGTATAAAAAGGGTAATTCCTTAATTATAGATATTTATGTTTATTCCGTAATTATAAGAATTACTTAATTGTAGGAAGATTTCTTTCCTCTTTCTATTTCTTGTACTTGCCTATTTATAGGTGAATTATCTATGTATTCAAATGAGAAAATGATTATTCAAAATTCACAAGTGCAAGTTATCAATTGTTTGTTAAAAGGAAGTTGTTGCTAGTGGGCCAAGAGGGTACTAGGATATCTCAACTTTTTGTATGATATTTAAATAATATAATTTTTCTAGCAGTTGATTTCATAAGATTTCAATATGAAACCTTTCAAATTTTAAACAATACATTAAGTTAAATCAAGATTTGAATCATCTACCTCTCTAATTCCTATATTTATTTGACTTATAATTTATAGTTTGCCATTAATTTGGTGGATATTTTGGTTCATAAATTTGACTCTTATTGTTAATAGATTATGGTGAATAGTTGTTTGATGTGTGCAAACAATGTTCGAACTAATGCTAATTTATTTCCTTGTATTCATAAATGGCATTGTAGCTAAGATTCAATCTTTTCATTTCCTTTTAGGGGTGTAACTAAGTCAAGTGGACTCCTGAGGCAGCTCAGGCTCGACTGAATAAAAGACTAATGAGTTAAAGTTGATGAGCTAACTAGTAAAGCTTTAGCCTTCCCCAAATAAACAGGTTAGTTCATGAGTGGGCTTTGTTAAACAACATAGGTATAAAATACATTTAAAATTTATTAGAACTCAAAATTCTAAACTCAAAAGTCTAAGTGCAAAATTTGCCGCATATGGCCAAGCTGGTACTAGGATATCACATTTCTCATGTTTTATATCAAGTGTTTTAAATTCTAAACTCAAATCCTAAGATTACATCTTTATATCAAGTGTTTTCTAATTATTTATAATCTATTTTGTTTTATTTTTTATCATATTATTACCATAATAGCTTGAAAAAAAATCATTTTATCTCTTCATAATAAATGAGTTAGATCATAGGGTAACTCACTAATAGAATTCAAATCATGCCAGAAGTTGATTAATTAATTAATTTCAAGCTAATGTTAGTGGAAACTTCGGCTCAACTTGACTCGTTTACACCCTTATTTCTTAATGAATATTTTTTACTTTCATCTATTAATTTAAATTAACTTATATTATTTATTTATTCAAAAATTTCTTGTTGTAGCTTACTCAACAATTAAGATTTTCTTCGTCATGTGACTTCTTTACTACACAGCACCCATTGCCAAAAGAACTTATATCTATATTATAGCATGTAAACTGAGATGTAATATTTTGCCCAAATTGTATTGGAAACTTACTCTCTTGCAAGGACCCAATAAAAGTCCAAAATAGTCACCATCTATATATGGCCAAGCTGGTACTAGGATATCACATTTTTCATATTAAATCCCTCGAATATACAAAATTAATCTCAAATAAACTCCTATGACTAAATTTTAATCAATTTTATATAGTCGATGGAATACATAGAGAAAAAAATTGTATTATACTTTTTTATCATTTAAAATAGGGATCATTTATGATCAATTATATATATTCGAAAAACTAAATGAATATTTGTTAAACTCAATGATTAAATTTGCCGCACTAATGTGATTGAGGACTATTTTAGATTTTTTTGTTATAAGAACTAGCACTTTTACAATAGATAATGGTGATTTTAAGAAAATTACGTAGTTAGGGGTCCTTTTTTATTATAATAGGAGCTTGATTTATGTAACATTTCAACTAATGATTCAATAAAAAAACAATCATTGTGTGATTTAATTTCATTCTCAAACTTTTCTTATAAATTTCTGAATTTGGCTATCTTTAAACTACAATTTGGAGCATGTTTTATGACTTACTGATTTGCATACGAAAAATAAACTTCACTTATACTATTTATGAACTGCAAATTTGCTTGGTTTGTGCATCCCATCTTAGATTTACATTAACAAAACAGAATTACTTATGCTATCCTACATCATTATTTTCCTAAAATTGTTGCACATATAGACAGCACACACACTAGTCATATAAGGTTCCTTTCGCAACATACAAAAGCACATACCACCATGCTTCAGTGCACATGTCCAGTCATTTGTTCAAACATGATTATTCAATCAAACATATGTCGCAGCATTAAAATATTATGAGTAAGATACTTAACAAGAATCTAACTTTGGTCTATAAACATGATATATTTGAAAAGAAATACAACGAAAAGAAATACCTGAAGACATTTTTGTCCACAAAACCACAAATTAGATCCAACTGCATCACATTTAATCCCATCCTTTATGCACGTTTCATGATCTGCAGTAACAAAGTTGCTTGAGTATTATGAAAATAAGGATCTATATACAAACTGCTGGAAGAAAACCCCAAAAAAATAAAGCTTTAAAAGGAGACTGGCAAATTAATTCATCTAACCAATTCTTTGGTGCATTAATTATGACTTCTTTGTTTATGAGAACAATGGAGTTTATGCAGCTCAACAACCTCATTTTTTTATATACACTTTGCTCTATCAGTTAGGGTGCAGACAAGTTAAGCCTTAGCAAGCTCAAGAATTGGTCAACTCAACTTGTTAAATATCAACTATTTAAACAACTTTTTTTTTTTTTTTGTGTTCTGGTCATTAAGATATCGAGTTGAACATTTATAAACATAAAGTCTAAACATAATTAAGCTATTATCAAACCAAACTTGATTGCAAAAGGCCTTGCTTGTGTTGATAACTTTGGAGAATCGAGACATTGAAGAAGGAAAAGCATGAGGATAAGCCGAAATAACGCAGGGGGATAAGCTGAAATAAATCAGGAGGACAAGTTGCTGCAGCTCACGATTTAGGATTTCGGGGCGACTTCTGTAAGTGTGAATCCCTCTTATTCACTATTATAGATTTTCATTTCCTTCCTCACACTTCGTTTTGACATTCACGTCGTTTTTCATGTAAATATCGTTTCCAGCAGCCGTCAAAGGTGCTGATTGTGAGTCGGAAGCGCCAAAAGCTTTTCTAACAAAAAATTAGTGTAGGGGAGATGTGGTTAGGGGTGATAGAAAGGAAATTAGATGATTTTGGGCTGACCGGTTACTCCGAAAAGCCCTTTTGAGGTGTGGTTTGAACTTTAATGCTTGTTTTGGGTTAATTCATGTTTTGAGCTAAATTTTATGAAATCCTATGTTCTCTACAAGCCATGGGTTGTCTATACGAGGCGACATACTCGAGGCAAGCGTGCAGGTACTCGTCGTAGGGCTGCTCCCTCAAATCAGATGAACTAATAGTGTGTCAATTAAAAAAAAAAGAACTTCAATAGATTTTTATATGATTTCTATTTTGACACTGATGTTTTTAGAATTTCCTGCATATCGTAAATGTATACATGCAATTGAAAGTACGAATGCAAGTTTACTTTTCTTACAACATAAGTATATTATGATTAAGTTATGCTACATATAACTATGGATATGATATAAATTTTCTACAGGTATTCATTTGTTATGTTTCATGCCTATGCCTATAATACATGTAATGTCTGATAAATTTTTGATGCAAGAGTGATGATTCAAATGTCGCGATGAATGTTAGAGAGTAAAATATTACATGAGTGCTTGCAAGTACATTATTCAACGATGTAGTATTCTCGACTCCTGATATTTATACGGGAACAAAATTTTAGGAATCATTGGAATTAGACGGTGACAAAACGTTATGGAACCATGAGTATGTTGGGGAAAAAATCCAAAATTTATTGATAGTTTATACGGTCTTTGAGGCAGGGTGATGACCAATGTTAAAAGAACATGAAAATAGTTGAACCCTTTATATTATATTAATGACACTATTATGATATGGCCTCTATGAAATGACATTACTAAGATAATATACTATGATCATGCTTATGAACATGTTTTTATTTATGATTTCATGCTTACGACCTGAATGTTACATTATAGTTGATTTTTATACTGCCTATAACAGTTATCTTTTCATTTTCTTTATTATGTATGCATGTTATGATTTGTGTGTAAACTTATAATTTTATACGAGCATGCACGTTGATCCTTTTTCATATATAAAATCTTATGTTAGCCTTGATTATTTTTCTAAGCTCATCGTTGCTCATTCTTCATTGTGCCTTCCAGGTAGAGGCAACGAGCACAAGGACGAGTAGCTAGGTGTGACTTTGTACATCTTTTACATGATAGTTTTGGGAGCTTTATACATACGATCTGGGTACGTACATTTTTATTATTTTGGATTTAGCAACTCTATATATGATTTTTATGCTTCCAAGTATGCATATGAAATGGAATGTATCACCTATGTTGCGGCGATCCAATTAGACTAATTCATCACCCACTAGGCCCTGATTATAAAATTCAGGATAAGTACTAATGAGATTTGGTCTGACCAAATTATCAGTCTCTGTTGCACTATGATTGACCCTACCAAGGGGGTTAGTTGGGGTGTGACAGCTTATATGTTGTAGGATCAAGAGAGTGCTTGACTTGATGGAGGAGTTTGAGCTTGGTAACAAGTTTTTAATGACCAATTTTGCATCGAGTAACCATGTGGTGGGGTGAAATGGTGTTCTCGGGTGTAGGCATGTTGGAATGACGGGATATGGGTTCGATGGTGGAGGAAGTGCGGTGTTGCATGGGTTTGAGGATGACGATGGGGAGGATACATTGGGGGACAAGAAGTAGGGGATTTGTTGTAGGAGAAGGGTGTGTTAAGGGCGTAGGAAAAGTAGAGAATGATTGGTATTGGAAGACATGCTCGTCAAAGGTTACATGGCAGGAAATGAATAGTTTTTCGGAGGTGGGTTGGTAGCACTTGTAGCCCTTATGATCAATTGAGTATCCAGGAGATACGCATGGATGAGAGCAAGGAGGCGAGTTTATGTGGTGTATATGCTTGTAGACATGGGTAACACTAAAATCTGAACACGTTGAGAGGTGGGAATAAGTAGGTTGACAATTGTAGAGAAGTTCATAAGAAGATTTACGATTGGTGTTTTTAGTTGATGAGATATGTTGCCGTGACGAGGGTATCCACCCAGATAGTAAAGGAGAGACTGGCATCATAGAGAAGAGTTTATGTGGTTTCAATGAGATGCCTATGTTTGTGTTCTTCAACCCCATTCTATTTCGAGGTGTGGAGACATGAGAATTGATGAAGAATGTCATTATGTTATAAGAAGCTTTGAAGTATGGTACTTTTGTATTCAATCCCACTATCGGATCAAGTATACAGATAGTGATATTAAATTGAGTGTAAAGCATTTCAATAAATTGAATAAATTTGTGGGTTGTTTCAGCTTTACTTATCATGGGAAACACCCAACAAAAGCGTGAAAACTCATCAATAAGAAGAAAAAAATATTTATAGCCTTGAGTTGAAGAAGAAAAAAATATTTATAGCCTTGAGTTGATAGAATTGGGGGTGGACCCCATACAACAAAATATATTAAGCATATGTTCGTAAAGAGAAAAAAGAAAAATGTATTCTATGCCTTTTGTTGTAGCTGAAACTATTATATACAGAGCTATTTGTTGCTATATCTAAGCTTAGTCGACTCTTGCAGACGAGCGTAAGAACATTTGAATGTGGATGCCCAAGACATTTGTGCCAAATGATGGCCTTCTTTATGAAGGTGACAAGAGCATGAATGGGATGCAAAAGAGAGGTCAGCGATATAAGCCGTCAGTATTGGTTCCCCAGTGTAGAGTTAGCTTTGCCATGAATTCAAAGATGGTAAAGCCATTCAGATCAAAATGAATAGTCGTGAATCAAAATATGGATAAGTAATAGATTGTGAGAAAGAGATGAAACATGCTATAGTTGGGACAGGAGAAGCTTATAGTGGGGTTTCAAAAGGATTTCATCATTCGTATGTGCTACTGAAACGAAATGACCACTTTATATCATGACTTGTTCATAAATGGTTCCAGGAATAACAAGTTTTAGGTGATTGAGATCTAAGGTAAAATGCGCTGTAGCGCCAGAAACCATAACCCATGGTGAGGCGGCGGCTTGCAAGGCTTGTTTAGTAGGTAAATACTCAAGATTAGAGAGATGCCAACATGTAGCTACAGAGTGACCAAACTAATCACAAATTTGGCATCTTACTGAGGATTTTGGTGTGTTTCGACCCCCTTAGTACGGGTACGAGATTGAGCTATGCCCCGAACGCGAGCATTGGAGCAGGGCGGACCGCGAGTGCGGCGAGAGCAAGTCGAGTATTAAATGGATTTTCAAGATTTTGATTGATCTCCTTGCTATATAGAAGGGAGTAGAAGTCACCCAAGTCAAGAGGATGCAGTTGAATGTGGATTATTGTCCCGAAGCCTTAATAGGTGGTCGGGAGTATGTTGAGTGTGTAGAAAATTATATCCTCTCTATCCAGTGTACCTACAACAACAATGATGTTGTCGACTAGAGCCTTAACGCTAGATAGGTATTACGTCAACACTTGATTGTTCATCGAGGGAGTATGAAGTGCATTCTTTAGTTGAATGAGCCTCGAAATTTGTTGGTTGGAGTCTTTTGGCAATGATGTGTTAGATCTCGACAGTAGTAGAGAGATGCAGCACATAAGGAAGAATCAATGGGGAGATGATTGACTAGAGTGTCGCGGTTAGATTTTGATCTACTAAGATCCACAAGGGGTTCCAAACCTTAGATCTGCAAAGTTCTCAAAAAATTGACCAGTTGAGTTGCTGCCCAAGAAAAAAATGACCCATTTGAGGTGAACACCTTAAGGACTTATGTCTTCCATATAAGATAGTAATCGTTTGAGAGTGGGTTTTGGGTAAGGTGTTTGAGGTTACTAATCAGGAATTAGAGGGAGGTAGGTATAGGGGTTGCTATGTTCATCTCCATCGGTGATGGTTTTGGTTTTTTGAAGTTTGGGAGTTATACCCTCTTGGAGAACCGATCTACATCAACCTAAACATACCTAGATCGCAGGTAGGTATCATCAATCTGAACAGCACCCAGAAATGATCTGCGTTGATCTTAGGTTTGGCAAGTAGCAAGAAGATGGAGGAGAAGGAAAAGGAGAAGAAGAGCGAATGAACTTAAGCTCAAGGCTCTGATACCATGATAACTTTGGAGAATTGGGACTTGGAAAAGGGAAAATACAAGGAAAAGCCAAAAGAGCAATACCATATGCGGTGTTCTATTTCATCAAAAGCATATTCGGACACAATCCTTACTCATTATATGAGGGTGAGTGAGCTTCTAGATATAGGAGATTAAATGCTTGCCATTATATTGTACTGTAGAAACATTATAGTGTAGCCTA